CTGCCCAAGGCTCCCTCCGGGACTCGGAGCGGGACAAATCCCGGGACCTTCGGTCCCTGCTCCCACCGCCGCTTGTTTGCCGCAAGGGAGAAAAAAAAAAACCAAACCAATCCGAATTTCCATTTCTTGCTCACAGTGGTGTCAGTTTCCAATAGGTGAGGGCGAGCCTTGCTTCATTAAACAGGCCTTGTCCTTAAAGCGCTTTTCGTCGCAGGATACTGCCTTGGCGGCTTGTGGGCATTACCGTGCCCTCCTTTTTTCCGTTCTCTACAGCTCCGTGAAAAGAGGCTGTAATGAGACGCGGGTTGGACTCTTTTGCCGTGCCTGCAGTGAGAACCAGAGGAAGTGGCCTTAAGATGAGACGGGAGATTCAGATTAGATAATGTAAAAAATATTTCACATTTACGATGGTCAGGCGTTGGAATAGGTCGCCGAGGGAGGTAGTGGAGTCACCAGTTTAAGGAGCGCCTGGATGTGGCGCTGGGTGTTGTGGTTTAGTGGTCAGGGGACACAGTGGCGGTGTTGGGGGAGGATGGTTGGACTGGATGATCTCAGAGGCATTTTCCACCCTTGATCCTAAGCCGAACGCTGTTTTTCTCCCCCGATGGAAGCGGTTTAGTTACGTTCTGCTCGGTGTTTGTTACTCGCGGTAGGGTCGGGGGAGGTTTGTTGTGGGTGAGGTCGGCAGAGGTCGAGTGTTTTGAACTCGCTGTTGCCAGGTTCCGGGCTGAGTTGAAAACTGACGCTGCCAGGTAAGGAACATTGTTTGTCGTCGGTATTTGCTGCTCTTCAGAGGGGGCAGCGGGCTGGGTTTCCGATCCGCGTTCCTGTTTGTACCAACACTTCTTGTTGTGTTGCTGTCGGAGCTGAAAACATGTGCTACAGCGTTCAGCCATGTTAACAGAGGTGTTAGAAATGATTCAAAATACTGAACAAATCTGGTTTAAATTGTGATAATGATAAATTGCTACTTTTTTAGACACGGTAACATAAAAGTTAATTTTATGACCGTGTTAATGTGCAGGTGGTCAGGCTTGTGACGTTGTGTAGTCAATTGATCAAACCCAAGAGTTTTTCGGGTATAAAGTGTTAAAAAGTGGTTAGAACAAGGTGTTGACACAAAGGGAACAACTGGGATGAAGCAAGGCTGTGTCTCTCCAGTCGTACAGCAGAGGTTGCAGTCACTGCTGCCTGCTGACCTTAATTTCTGTTTACTCTTTGGAGATCCTTGTACTCCAGTTAGGGATTTTATGTTCAGCTGGTGATCAAGAGCCTGGTAGTTAAAATACCATTTAGTTTGATGGATTATGTTGTCAAAGAAGATTTGTTTGGACCAATGCGTAAATGTATTTACAGATCTTGTCTCTCTGATTACTTTTTTTTTTTTTTTTAATTGCACGCAACCAAAATTTTAACTATTGCACAGCGCTGGTCTAACTTTGTGTACTCCCCTTGGCTCCTGTGCTGACTTCTCAGCAGAGAATAAGAGTGTGTTGAAAATGGAAGTTAAATTAGTATTAAATTTTCTTAAATAATCTACTGGAGAAGAAATTTAAATTGCTACTTTTATTGGCAGCACTGTTTAGGCTGCAATACTACTAAAAATGTCTTTTATCTGTAAACTGTAAAGTGTTTCCCTTGTTCTCCATCAGACTTGTCTTTTTACTCCTTATGCTTTCAGACTACAGCAGATCCTACCCAGACAGCTTCTCTCTCTGGTGTTTTCTTTGTCCTTCCCAGATCCATGCAGTTGGCTGATTTATCGTGGCTGGGCTTGGGCAGAAGGCGTGCAGGGATTTAGTTTTGTGTAACACTGAAGTTATAGTTAGAGGGCTAATACGTTTTGCTACTGATTTTTTTTAAATAGATAAATACATGTCTTTACCGATTGTATTCTTTCTTTTATCCATTAGAAGTTTCGGAATGTATGTGGGGAGAGGGAACGACTTAGGTTAAATCATCATCTTTTGTAGGAGTTCCTAACAGTACACGGGCTGTCCTGAGGAAATAAATAGCAGAGTTTTGGTTTGTTCTGCATCTGTGCCGAGCTCATTGGCGCTGTGAGGTCTGTGAGCCGAGCTTGTGTGGGACGAGGCCGCCGATTGTCGCCAGTCCAGAGGCGTCGCGGTCGCGGCCTGGTATCGATGGAAATGTCAGCGCGGGTTGAGCGCCGGGCGCAGCCGGCCGTGTGAGCCGGAGCCGCGCTCTGCCGCCGGCTGTGGAGGACGTGCAGCCCGGCCGAGCCAGTGCGCTGCACTCGCGGCCTCCCAGGGGCACATCCACTGCTTCTTCACCGTGGGCTGATGCTCTGAAGGGAAATCGTTGCAGTAATTTTCAACTTAGTTGTGTGAGGTTTATGTTTAAGCACTGTGCTCCTTAAGTAGGAAGTGCTCCATTTCTCTAATAGTATTTGTAAAGAACCTTGTCGCTTGTGTCCTGGAAACATTTTCTGCCAAAGCTTTTCCTTTGTCTTATTCAAGTGATGGAAGGATTAGTGAGAAATTAATTAGCTGTGTCAAAACTTGCTGGATCTTGCGTATGAGGATTGTTTCTTTCAAGATAGATTAAAAATAAAACTATAGTTGAGGGTATTAGTTGGTTTAAATTATATTTTCTTTTGAATGGATGTTAGATTTTCCTTACTTTAGAATTAATGAACTCATTCTGCTCTATTTATTTAACTGCTGGGGAAGAAATAATTCATGCATATGCATTTCACTCCTACAATTACTAGTTGTAGGTTTTATGTTTTCTGTTTGTTCTGAATAGAAATCCCACTGATATGAGTGAGGACTCAGTACTTAACAAGAATCTTAAAGGCCATATAATAAGTCTGAAGCCACTCATAGCTACATTGCAGCCAGTTTTTATTAAAACATTAATTTTTCTGATTAGAATTTTTTTCTGTCTTAAAATGTAGTCTGAATCTGTGACAGCCTGCCAACACTCTGAGAAAGAACTTGCTCTTTGCTTTAATGAAGATTTTTTTTTCCCCCCCTAATTCAAGCTATCATGACTCCAAAAACACTTCAGGGGTAATGTGTAGAAACTTTAAACTGTTTTCTTTTCCTTAAAGGATCATCTGATTATATGCAATTATTTGCCTAAAACTTTCTGGGCCTTATCTTTCAGTTGAGGCATTCACTGTTTTTAATTTCTTAATCATACACAGATCATACTTTTTTAAAAATAAGACACAAATTTTACTTTGAACAAAATAGCCTTTTATGGTTAGTTTTAGGAGAGTGACAGTGTTCCAGATATTTGTGACACTATTCCAAATTTGGACACCTGAGTTGTCGTGTTTTGGAAAAATGCTCCTTTGCTTTAAGGAAAGATCATGAATAAGTCCCCGTTTATCAGAGATCAGATGGATAAGCTGGAGAGTCTCAACCAAGGGAGTGCGGGTGCCCTGTTGAGTGATGAGCATCCTCCTCTCCTGTTTTCTGTTAGCCAGTTTACATTTCTTTCACGGATGAAGATTTTGGATTTCTTCTATTTCCATTTTTGGTTGGTTCACTATTTTTTTAATAGTTTCTTACTTGTTGCCCTCTACAGGCTCTCCACGTGCCAGGCAGTAATACAGACCAAGTCCTATAATTTGTGTCAGAGTTGTGTCTTGCTGCCCTTGGGGAGGAGAGCAGTGGACAGGGTTCTTTGTGATTTGCTGCCCTCAGGGGTGAGGGTGTCCTGTACAGGTGTCTCTTGTTTGGCTGTGCTGGAGTTTTGTTGTTCTGGCTTTTCTGCAAGGGAACATGAACTGCAAGGTAAAGCAGTCACCCCAGCTGCCTTCTCCCTGTATGAGCTGGTATAATAATAACAACTGTATCCAAATACACTCTGCTGTCTGACATACAAGCAGGATGTTTGCTGTAAACACAAGATTAAACTAAGCTTTTTGGAATGTTCATTTTATTAAATTCATCTCCTGGGGATGCTGAGGGAGTACTAAAATAATGAGCATAAACACGGCTATTTAAGTACATTTTATTAATTTTAATTATATGGTAAATTGACATTTTTCCACGAAACAATAAATTTCAGGAGCCTGTGAAGTTAAACTGTGACAGATTTTCTAAGCTTAGGTAAGTAAAAGCTAAAAGTATTGAAGTTGTTAATATGCTTTAGTCTGCACTGCACTGTGCATGTATAAGCAGGAGGAACAAATTAATGCTGGTGCCTTGTTTAAATGTATTTGTCAGGTTTATTAATCTTAAAACGTACACAGGTTTTCTTGCTCTGTGTTCCTGCACTCATAAGTAACTTTATTTGCTCCTTAGCATTCTTAGTCTTAGAATTTTTTTTGTAAACTGTGGGAATTTTTATGTTAGCACAGTGGGTTTTTGTGAGTTCAGTCAAAGTGAACTGGGATTCAGAGCTGGGTGTTTGTTCCTCCAGAGTTGCCAGCAGATGCAATCCTTTAGGTAAGTCCATGGAAGGCAGGCAGCTGCTAGGATCTGCGTGGCTGTGGGACTTGCAGAGGATGTTTATGACTGCCTGCTCTGTGAACTGCATGAATCAGGAGTTTGGAACTCCATCCGCTCTCCAGGTGACTGCTGTAGTCACTGAGCTCAAGCTGTTGTGGCATCTTTGAGGGCTCTCTGTGCTGCCCATTGCTTCATGGCCAGAAATAGATAACTTTTTCTGACTAAGCTGACTGCAAAGGTCGCATGCCCCTTGCTGTCTGAATTCCCTCCTGGCTGCTCTAAAGAATTTCTTGTTTGGATGCTTTCCTCCGTTCTGTATTTAGTTAGGAGTGCTGCTCTGTCATCCCTGCTGGTTGTTTGTCTGATTACTTGCTTTTCTCTGTCATCTGTTCTTATAAAAGTTTAGAGCTCTCTACATATGTTTTCAGTAATACTTCTCATGCTTTTTTTGTAGCTGAGGACTGTGCTGTAAAGAAAGTTTTTGAGTCAGGTTTTGGGTAATTGGCCGAGTGCTGGGCTGAGCTGTGCAAGGAGGGCCTGAGCTTGGCCATGTGGCCCTTGTCACTGGCCTTGAGTTCAGGGCCACTGCTCCATAACCCAGAACACAGCTGCCTTCTCCTGTGATGACTGAGAAATCTATAAACTATGGAAACCTTTCATATAAACATTTGCCTGTTTGGTTTTCATGCCCCAAAGAAGGAGTTGGAGTAGCTGATAGCACACTGTAAACAGTGCAGTTCCCAGCTCAAGGAACTATGGATTTTTGCAAGCAGACAAGGCCATGAAACACCTCCTTTCAGCTGTTTTTGGTTTTTTTTTTGCTTCTTTTCTTCTGAGATTGTGTAGATTTTCTGTGGATGGAGGGAGGACGTCAGCCAATGTGGGCTAGATTCTTCATGGCTTTAGAAAAAACTCGAAGTGCCTAATTAATGAGCCTTGCTTGTATATTTGGAGACAAATTGTTTTGACAGATTGGTTGTTCGGAGAAGATTTTTGTCATGTCATTTTGGTTAGGACAGTTGAGTGGTTTCATGAAGGGAGGTATATGGTTTGCATCTTTGAAACATCTAGGCATTTTTACCATGCATCTTCCTACTAGCCTTAAAACTACTGATTTATTTGCTTTTAATTTGTCATCTTCTATTTTCTAAGTCAGTGGTTATCCATATTCTGCTTTATTATAAGCTGATGGTGGCTGTTTTCTTGAGTGAATATTTTAAATAATTCCGTCCTGAAAAGACTGCAGATTGAGGTCTTTTTTGTGAGTATTGTTGGATTTTTTGGGGGGAAGGGGTTTTGTGGATATGTGGTGGATATGTGTGGTGTTTTTTTGGTCAGTCTTACTGGCTGTTGAGGGGCTAAATATTAGCTGAAACTTTTTCTTACACTGGACAAGAAAAGTTGCAGATGATTTTTTTTTTTCTTGTAAATATTTTTAAAACCTTTTTACATACCAAAAAAGTTCCTATGATAACTAAAATTTCAGCAATACAATTTATGTTTTATGATAACTAGCAGATAGAAATAACAGTATATTAGAGATGAATTCTTGCTGTCACCTGACTATGGCGATACTTTGATTAGGAGAAGGAGAATATTAAGAATTTTTTTTCTTTAGATAGTTTCTGGCTTGTTTTAATTCCAGACTTTAAACTACTGGCAAGTAAAAACTGAACAAAAGCACTTACTAAAGACAGAATATGCAATCCCCAGACTTTTCTTTGAAACAAATAATTTCTGTCTTGAAGGAGTTGCTTTTTAGGGTCAGAGTCGTCTGTTAAGAGGTGGTCGTGTTGCTTCAGCTCTGTTTTTTTGTCCCAACTTCAGGCTTCTGTCATCTAGGATATATGGTCTTTGTATTGAGTTTAAACTTAATAGCTCTGCAGCATTGCTTTTAAACAAGCAAGAAAGTTTATAAAAACATACTTTGTTGAAATCAATATGACTACCTGTGTGCACAAAGTTCTCTAGGAAAAAAGTGACTTATTTTTTACATCTTAATTGCTTTTCCTACATGCTTTTTCTAATTAGAATCTTGATTTTTTAATTTTCCCTCTAAGATAGGTACCAGAATTGAGAGGAGAGCTAATGAAAGTCTTGTATGTAAGAAAAGGAGAATATGGAAAGAACACTTAGTGTTATGCTGTACGCTCCTGTCCTGCTCTTGCTGTTTGCTTACTAGTTTTAGGCTGATACCTCTTGTTAGAAGGGACTATGACCTCCAGCTTTAAGCTTTACTCATACTGGATTCCTGCCTTCTGATTTCTTTTTGTAAACCGTACCTTCCATATATTCTATTGCTCATAAGGGTGGCTATGGGATTTGATAACATACTTAACCCATACTGACTTTGCTCCTCACATCTGTGTTCACAGAGCCATTCTAATTGTTGTGTGGGAAACAGCAAAACTAGAGAGGGCATCTGATAGCAAATATCCTGGGATATTTTTGGTAATCTGTATGTGTACATACTGAACCCTGCCATTAGTGTATTATTACTGGCATTCTTAATGTTAATTTTGATCCACATCTCCCAGCTTCCTTTGGTGTTGGTCACAGTATTAACTATACCCTTACGGTTTTTTTGATGTGCAGATTTCTTCAAAGGGCTATTTACTTGCTACAGTTTAATTTTGTGTTTGTGGGACTGTGTGGTTAAGTAGATTGCTAAAACCACCCAAGTTTTAAACACGTGGGTCCTCCAATACGTTTGCTTCTGTATGTAGTTTGGAGGGGGAAGGAAGCATGCCAGGGTATCACTTAAACTGGTTTTGCCATTTGAGGAAATGTATGTATGTAACCACAATCCATAATTAAAGTTAATTAAGCTTTAACCTACAGCAAGAACATATTTTGAAGATGTACCAATTTATTTTAAAAGGAAGTCTTTTTTTCAATTTTTATATCCCAGGATGTTGAAAGATACATGCAGAAGTACAATAAATTAATTTCAGAATATTTAACTAGGCTACATCATACTTGGTTCTTCCCGCATTTATGGGAAAGAAAAGGAAACTGAGACTTTGCCTAGGCTAAAATGAAAAACACTGAATGACTTGAGGGGGGGCAGGATATTTCAATGAATTTTTGTTCTTGCTGCATGAGATAAGAATATGTGACTAATACATTGCTGTATTGTTATGTTCTGAGTGTATTTAGGTGACTTTCCCTGCAACAAGTTGATAAGTACTGGAAAAAGTCACTTGTTGAAAAGTTTCCTTGTTCATTAAACTTGAAACAAACCAGCAGTGGTAGGATGGAAAGGAGGTTGGAAATTTTGCCAGAGTGGAGACTTTTTACAGTAGTGGAGGGAAAGGCAGCATTGCATGAAGACACAAAACATTTCTTGAAACTTTTTAGAAAGGTTCTTTCATCTTAGTGGTCATTTAGTTGGAGTAGGGGGTCAGTGTAACTGTACCTTGTAATTATTCTCTAATGTTGACAAGAAATGGTCAGTATTCAAATTGCTTTTTCAACTTCTAGGTTTCCCAGGACTCTTTCATACTAACAAACACTAGGTGCCTCTGCACTTGAGTTGGTTGGTTACCTTGCAGTTGGAGCTAGCTTGCCTAGTTATGTTCTTCTCTTGGTAAACATAAAGGAGGCAAATGGTATTCAGTAGCTTTGGCAACATGCACATTTTTTGTCAAAGTCTGAGTGCAAAAAAGGTTTATTGGACTCAGTAAGGTTGAGTTTTAAATTTGCAAGACTTGCACATGCGTTGCTTTTCTGAAGGGAGCATCTCAGTGTAAGTAACATACTGAAGAACAGATGTGAAAGATGGGTCCCTTTGTTTATGCCCATTTGTGCTTAAGATGTGACAGGCTATAGATAACAGGTGAACTTTTGCATTGAGTTACTAGTATCTACATCAAAACTGATCCAGATACACTTATTAAAATACTGATTGAATTTAGCTTATCAGTATAATCTGTTTCAGGAACTGCTGTACATCTATGTGTTTGTGTACTGTGTTTCAGTGGGATTAAAGAACATACAAATCTGAATTAAAGTAATTGTTTGATCTCTTGACATAAAGTGGTTTTATTTTTTTGGGGTTTGGAACATTTGAACTTTGTCTTTCTTTGATCAGGTTTGGTATAAGGCAATACCAGGCTGTTACTTGACTTTTATGAAGTAACAATAGCTGGACAAGCTTCATTTACAAGTTGTTGCTGTTGCAGGACTTGAAAGACTTGGCTGCTGTTACCAAGACAACTCCTGAAACATGGTGGATTACTATGAAGTTCTGGGAGTGCAGAAACATGCCTCAGCAGAGGATATCAAAAAAGCGTGAGTGTCACTGGTGTAGATGTTACGGATTTTAAGGGACAGATATAATTACATGGTTTCTGGATTCACACTTTGTTCCCACGTTCTTTTGCAAATTCCTGCATGCTACTTTATCAACTCAAATGGTTGAACTGTGATCTTGGATGACTGCAAAACACCTCAACCTAAATGCACGCTTAGCTTTCCCCCTCTAAGTAAGAAGTGATGAACACTTTGCCTAAAATGTTTCATTTGAGGATAGGAATTGTGTGCAGGTGTAGCTGTCAAGGCATTGATGTGTTAGGATGTCACAGTCAGTGTATTCTTGGAGCTTTATCAACTTCTGGCATACCAGATCGTTCTTGATACTTCCCTTGGTTGGTTGTAGTACTGAATAATTGTAGAGCTCTATGGAGAAGCCCACAGCAGAGATATTTTGGAATGTTGTGCTTAGGTCTTGCTGATGTTCATCATCAGAAATGCACAGGAGTAAGTAAATTCAGAGTAAATAAAGAACCCCAAACCTACTTTCTAATTTAAAACACGAGTAGGTTCTTGGTGTACCTGCAGGATCTGTTGATCCTGACATCTAGATGCAAGATACAAAGCATCAGGAATTTCTTACTTCAATCCCTGACAACCTGTTGAACCTGACAATATTGTGTTTATCTGTATAGCATATCCCATTATTTCAGAGTAAAATACCCTTTTTTTTTCCTTCTATTCAGGTACCGTAAATTGGCACTAAAGTGGCACCCTGATAAAAATCCAGACAATAAAGATGAGGCGGAACGGCAATTTAAGCAAGTAGCTGAGGCCTATGAAGTCTTATCAGATGGTAGGTATTTTAAAAGGACTCTTGAACTGCCTGCATCTGTTCTGGGGATCAGAGTGAAAACGTTGATCAATGGTGCTTTGAAGGGATATTGTAATTTTGGTTCACCATCCAATTTGACTACTTCTTTTCAAAAGAAAGCTGCAAGCTTCTTTCTCTAAGACAGAAAAATCAGAAATTTTGAAACAAAATTTCAGGATTTCCCTAGATATGTAACCAAACTACTAGAATCTGAAAATCAGTGTCTGCCAAAAATTTCTGTAGAAATTTCTGTGATTCCCAAGATAAAATTAATCTTAGCAGGTGTGGCCAGTGTTACGATCAGTATAGGGGTATTGTGTTTATGCTTTAAAGTCAGGCTGGACCAGCTCTGAAGTATCCACCGTTGGGCCTATAGCTTCTAGTTTTTGTTACAGTCAACTACTCGTGACAAAGCCCAAGCATACTGTAAACCTTGCTGAAAATTTGAATTGACTTTGAGCGAGTTCTGTAAATTCAGTCAGCTGTGACACTAAAGACAGTGTTTATTTTGAATTATTCTGAAAGAGGTGTTTAACCTGACCCATGCAGTGTAGGAATGCATTTTACAGTTCACCCATATCTTCTTGCTTGAAGAGTATCATTAACTTTTGCCAATGTTCTGACAAAAGCAGCCTGAATCATAACAAAGCGATTTAAGCTACTTTGATTATTTTCCTCTGTAATTGACTGCAGCTGTCTATATGCTATTTCTGAAGTGTCCTTGATTTCACCTGAGACAGTGAGCATGGGAAAGCTATATTTAAAGCACTAGCAGCATCTAGATTACCTCTCAGAGTTCAGCCTGATTTAGTGAGCTGCAGTCCTGTACACTGTGTTTCTTTGCTTGGTTTTGATACTTAATTGACAGGGGAGAAAAGAAACTTAATTTATCATTAGTTCATTGTAATGCTTACCTTCTAGAGTACTTTATCCTTCTTAAGCTAATTTTTTTGAGCAGGATAAAAATAGGATACTGGTCTGGTTGTTATATGGATCTCTAAGTTCTTTGGAAACAGTACACGGCTAGAATTTTAGAATATCTTCTAAAAGGGCTGCCAGGTTCTAGGTCTAGGCCAAATCCTAAGTTACTAGTGTCTTAACAGTTGTTTGTGCAGCAGGGATACCAGAATCATGAGCCCAGTGGTTAAGAGGCAGTCAAATATTCTGCAAACTTAATGAAATTTTCTGACACCATTATAGGCTTGAATGGTGACAGATTTTTGGCAGAAAAGTAGTTTTGTAAGGGATTACATAAGCAAAGAACACTGAAATTGGGTGATCATTGAACACACTTCCCGTGTGGGAAACCTTGTGATTTCAAAAATGGGACATTTTTCTAGATGAATTTTGGTTTTTGTGAGCCCGCAAGGCATCTTTGCTGTTTCCTGCCCATGACAGTTTATCTGCCTTCTTGCTTCTTCATAATTTGATGAGTAGGTTAACGCCTTTCTTTGAAAACTGGTTTCTAGAAAGTCAGTACAGATAATGTATCAATCTTGGGGGATTTGTCCTCTTGTGAACCTATTGCAAGCTCCTATTATTTGAGATGATAACTATTATATAAAATTTTACTTCCTGTTATTCAGAAGTATTTTAATTTCCAGCATCTCTTTGAGGTAACTGCATGTTTTTTTCAGTGATAATTTTAAATTTTAAAAACATCTTTCACTGAAGAGATTCCATGGGAAAAGCATGATAATATTAAGAGACTAAAATCAGATAACCTGATTGGTTTTTGACTAATACTTCCACACCTTTTGCACCTTTGCAAGCAAAGTGAGCTGTCTTTCCGCCTCTTCAAGGTCTTCAGGTTCCTTTCAGTACTGAAGTGCCATCTGATCTTGTGCAGTAATGTAGACTTCATTTTTCTCTCCTTTCTCATGAATACTGTAAGGCTGGTCTGCAGTGAAATTAGCAGTCATTCCATGCCTTCTAAAATAATAGAGAGCAAGCAGTTTGAGTCACATCCTTCCGTGGCATTTTGGAGCATCACTTCATTCTCCATTATTAAGTTAGAAGAAGAGATTATAATTAATTTTAGGGGTTTTGCAGTTATTCATGTAAACACTGGTCTTCTGTTCTCATAACTCTCCCACAATGGGCTTGGTTTTGTGCAATAAAAGGAAAAGAGGCAATGGCCAAGGTTTGCAAGTGGGATAGAAGGAAGGGAATGCTTGAGCAGTGGAACTGTTCTCCGGAGAGCCTGTCGAACCTTGCCTCAGAAGTTGATGCGATTGCAGCTTTATTCAGGCAAGATGTGACCAGCTCCACAATTAGGCTTGTGTGGAGGAGCAGGTTGAAGTCCAGAGGTCTTTCACAGCCTTAAAGCTTTTCATGGTAACTGTCCAAAGAAGAAAACTGCCATATTCTTCCTAAAGGCAAACTTTGATGTGAAATTTGTCCTTAAACCGAACTTTTTCTCACACATCAGGACCAGACCGTGTACAACTTAATGGTAGTGTTTTAAGTTCAGTAACTGTCCTTTCTGAACTAAACTGCTTTGGCAGTCCTTGTTAAAGATGTTCAGCAGTTACGTGCCAGAACTTCCTGAAACTAGCTTCGAGAAGATGATTAACTGAGAATACCTTTCAGAATACTGAAATTATTTTTTCACCAAACCAGCAAACTTGTTTACTTAAATAATGTACAACTTTTCCTTTCAGCTAAAAAACGTGACATCTATGACAGATATGGAAAAGAAGGCCTAATAAATGGAGGTGGAGGTATGTTGACAACCAGCAGTTCTTTGCCTTCTCTGTTTTCTGTAGCTTTCTTTTCAAGACAGGACTCTGGAAATGCTTGTACTAAGGCCTAAAATTCAGTCTTTTGAAAATTGAGATCACAATTTTTTTACAGTTCTTCTAGTTATTACAAAAAGTTACTGTTATCTGAAAACAGAGAAACTGATTTAAAAAGTAGTGAAGTAATGTGTGTATTTAGGTTGAATGATATCTGAAAGAGAAATTTTGAAAATAATTTAAATTTTTAGATGATTCAAATACCTTATAGGCCTAAACTTTCTTATTAGTAAGAATATGTGAAGGTAACCAAAATTTAACGTTTTGTTTTGTTTTAGGTGGAAATCATCACGATAATCCATTTGATTTTGGATTTACATTCCGCAACCCAGATGATGTCTTCAGGGAGTTTTTTGGCGGACGGGACCCCTTTTCATTTGACTTCTTTGGTAAGTGATCCCCTGGTTTTTAGTTCTGTGTATCCAAAGTTTGGTTAAAACTTTACTCGTACAAAACAAACATAGCTAGTGTACTTGTATTAGAATTAGTTCTGAAAATGAGGCAAACAACTGGTATTTTGCATAATATTTGAAATCTTTGTTTCATACCTGCTTCTTGATTAGTTTTATAGTACAGAACAGAGATGGCTTGCCAATTCATGTTTTGATGGAAGGCCTGGTTTGCCAAACCATCAAATGATATCTTCAGTGTCTCTAAGTAGAAGTAATGTTCAACAGAAAAAATACATACTAGAATTTCCTCTTGAGAATTTGAGCAGGCTAACTAAGTCTGTTTGATTTCTCTTTTTTGATCTGTAAATAAATTAAAAAATAAAACTTTGAGAGCTTCTGAATGGGACAGCTTAACTGTAACTGTTAACACCATAACTCTCAGTGTGAACTTGCATGTGAACTTATATCCTAGAAGGACTGATTTTCTTCTATCAGAATAGGAGCAGTTGCATACGTAATCTAAACATTCTCCCAAATTCATGTCACTTGTTTGTTTGGGCTGTAGAGCTCATAGAGATTCAGATAAAATAGTTCTTGAGGCCCGAATTCTTCATGTATGAAGCATTCATTAAAGGAAGCAATATGTGATAAAAAAATTGTCAAAGTAATATTTTTACCCTCATGCTGAAGGTCTTCTGGCTTGTGACATTGCTTGCTCTAGTGAAGGTCTTTTCAGGGGTGCTGGGATTCTTATGCAATCTCTCTGTGTACGTTCAACTCAGCAAAATGCTGGCCTATAAAGCAGAACAGATCCTGTGTTCAGTATTTACTGTGAAAAAGTTTCATACTGAAAGCTGCAAGAAATGTACTTGAAAAAGCAAGCTTCCTTTCTGTTCAGTATGTAGATATAGATTTATCTCTGTAATAATGTTTGTAAATGTTTTAATATTTTTAAAAGTAATTTATTATCTTTGGCAACATTAAGGGGTAATTCAGCTCAGCTTTTAATTATATCTTTATATATAATCGTTTGCTATTTCAGGATCATCAGCTGTTAGATGACTAATGAAGGATTAGAAAAGAGGTTGAAGGGCTAGAGGTTGAATGCAGTAGAATGCTAGTTGGTGAATTAGATAAGTAGCTAGAGGAAAAGTCTGGTAGAAGATAGGCAGCTGAACTGGGCAATTTTATCTAGTGTGAAATCAGCTGAAAGTAGGAAAGGGAAGATTGGAGGAAGCATCTAGCAAAATACTGATGAGTGAAATGGGTGGGTATGGATGCTGAAAGCATGCAGGGAACACAGAGCCTGTGTGAAACTAAGTCACACAAGGTTCTCACTCTGGCCTGAGAAAGCATTAGAAGGAATCCAGACAGTCCTTAGAGAAGGACAACGACCTTTGCAGGTGTTGTTTGGATCCTTGTTGTTTACTTTCAAGAAACAGTCAAAGGGTGTAGTTCCTATTTGTCCAATAATAGTGATGTGTTGGTTTAATGACCAATGAGAGTTTTAATTCTCTGAACTGTCTATAAAAGAAGATCTGGAATAATAAAACTTGCTCTCTTGGGCAACCCAGCTAAGAGAGTGTGTGTCGTACTTTGCCGTTCCTAATAGAGTGCGACGGGTGGGCTCTGAACTGGGTAGATGCAACTTCTTCACTGTATGCAGTAAAATAAGAATCTTAGGAAGTACTAGAAAAAAATTTCAGTTCAGATGAGTGATCCCAGTACTTGTTGGGACACATCTGGAGTACTGGGTCCACTTCTGGGCTCCACAGTAAAAGAAACAGAGCTACTGGACAGAGTCCAGTGAAAGGCCACTAAGATAATTAATTATAAGAGCTTCTCTCACATGAAGAACAGGTTGAGAGATTTGCTGGAATTGTTCAGTATAGATAAAGTTCAGGGTAGGAGTCTCATCAGTGCGTTGGGAAGGGAGAGGAGAGATCAGAGGCAATGACCACAAATGGAAGCACAGGAGTCTGCCTGATCATAAGGTAGCACAGCTGTACTGTGAGGGCAACAGTGCTGGAGCAGGTTGTCTAGAGAGGTTGTGGAATCTCCATGTTTAGAGATAGCCAGAAGGCATCTGGAGTGGTTCTGGAAGTCCCACTCCAGTTGATCCTGTTTGAGCAGGGGATTGGACCGGATGAACTCTAGAGATCCCTGTCAAACTCAGTTGTTTTATGAGTTGGTTCTCAATCAAATATCTTTATCACAAATTGTATACTTGAAATGTTCTAGCTGCTAGTGGAAGACTGACATTGACTCTGTTTGATTTTGATTGTACTTACTTCATCAATACTGGGAGCAGACTTAACTTGCTGTCTCTGAAAATGGTTCTGCTGTTAAATAAATGATAGTCTTAAAGAAAACTGAGGCCCTGCCCTTTGGGTTCCTTAGAAGTAAGGTTGCACAGTGCACAGAGCTATCCAGCTTATCAAATGGAGGTACCACTGCTGCCAGTGTTTCCATGGGATACTGCAGCTGCCATAGCCCCTCCTGTAGAGGCAGTGATCCATCTTGCCTTGGGGCACCAGTGGACTTAACAACATACCTCTGCACTAATGACCTAGAGAGACATTCTCCCTCTGCTTAACACCCAGTTTTGTTTATTTACTCAAAAGCAGATTATCTACTTCATGCACTGATTGCTGCCTTTGTCAGCTTGAAGTTAAGAGTATTGAGCACAGGCTCTACTTCTTCCCAAGGTTCTGGCAGTGTCAGCAGTGTTACGTGCATGCCAGTTAATGAAAACTAATAGTTCCTATGCTGCCTCTCTACTTTGTGGATAGTTGCAGTGTCAGTGACCAGAGGCCTAAAACCTGCAGTTAAGCTTTGGATTTGAGCACAAGTTCTTGAGTTTTTTCTAGTCAGAAGGTTTCAGAGTAAACACTTTTTTTTTTTTTTTCTGTTTTTCTTTAAGATGTTTAAGACATTCTTTCATGGGTAATTGTGACTCCAAACTATTTTTTTTCACAAATTCCTGTAAAAAGTATTTGAATTGATCTTTGCTCATACATGAATATTTCAAGATAGTACAACATAAAAATACATGTGCTTTCAGCTGAATGTAATGCATTTTATCATTCCTAAAGCGGGCAGTAGAATTGCGTGTATAGCATGCACATTTCTGTTGCAGCCCTTGTAGGTTCTGCTATGTTGAAACACTAGTGGAACAGTTCTGTCCTGAATAATAAGAGAATTTATCTTCTAAAATGGCAGTGTTTTCAACTTGTTGCTGAGTTTTCTGTGGAACTAGTAACTTCTTAAGGAGCTACTCAAGTTGTAATTGATATTTTAAGCCAACTAAGGACTGAGGTCATGTTTTCTAAAAATGTGCACTGGTAGAATCAAAGATGAAATTGAATAAATACTTTAAAACATTGGTACTTTTTATACAGTTTGAAGTGGCACGTAGTGAAGCCCACAGAATGCAGGTGGGACTCTATACCCTGATTGTCATTGAGTATGTGAAGAGCAGCATTCATATGCATAATTCCTGTAAATTTATGGATGTGAAGAATTTTTGAAATTGTGCTATGAATTGAGTCTGTTCAACTCTACTGAGCTATACTGCACTGCTCTTGCAGCTACAGAAAGTTTTCTTTATAAACAGAGGCATCTTAATTCATCTGTAGAAAAGAGGAGAATGTATTAAGACTTCTGTGGCTGTTTTAAAATGATGAGTGCTTTCAGACTTCAAATGAAAATCTGTAATACTGTTGGAAACAGCTCTGAGCACTTCCAAATGGAGCAGAGTTAATGTTATGTGCTGTGTGTTGCACTGGAGACAGTCACAGTTTCTTTTCACTGTTTTTTTAAGGAAAATTCTTTGTAAAACTAGGGGTGCATGAAGGCAAGTACTTTTTAGAACTTGATCTGATATTATGACAAATGCTTGACTCTTACTCTGGGATTTGTGAGCTTGCTTTTTGTTAAATGCATGGTTACAGCAGAGTGTATATTCCTGGTGAGCTCTCCTAGGGGTAGGTTTTAGCCTCTAACATACAGATGAATGGTGATCCTTGTGACAGGAAGAGAAGCTGGTGCTTCCTATGCAGCACTACAGTTTGCATTGCAAAGTACTGCCTTGTTAAAGCAGTGTCTGGTGATCTGGTGTTCAGCCTGTCCCATGGCTCTCTGACCATTCTTTGACATTGGAACTCACTGTTTACTCTTAATGTAGGCATTGGTTTCTGTCCTGGGTTGATTGATACATGTCAGTATACTTAAACTTTCATACTTCAGCTATATCCTACTCTATTTATATGTAGTGCTTGCCTTGATTTGGTTTGAGTTCCTTGTTGTGTTTTATTTGTATTTTACTTGAAAACTTTTCAAGAACCTCTTTTCTTCTGTACTTTAACGGGAGGGAAGGATCTCAGTGTTACCACTGGTAATGGAGGTTAATTAAAGACTGCTGTTTCACACTGAGGAACAGAAACTGATGTGCTTTGGTGTCGGCTGGGCTGTGTTTCTGGGCTGTTAAAGAATTTATTTGGTTTTGGTTTAGAGGCTTTTCAGATTTTCACTTCAAGAGTGGGTTTTATGTTGGAAGGTAGTGAGGAGTTACTCTGAAAGATGGAGTTGGTGTAACAAGATCATAACATTACCCAACAGAAACTCTTTAAGGAGTTAATTGTTTGGTTTTTTTTCTAGACTTGACTTCATGCACACTTCAAACCATCTCAGCTCTCTCTAGATGTATCAATGATGCTCAAGTAACTTGTGTATGGGCTAGGAAATGCAACTCAGGGCCTACAGCAGACCAATATCCTCCTGCAGCAGTATCTAAAAGCTTGACAGGATGATTTAGGGCATTTCACACTGCTTCCAGTGCCTGTGTGTGTAGTTAAATGAATCCCACACGGAACCAGGCTTTTCTCCCTGGTAGAATGTGTTACTAATGTGACACGATAAATTGCTCCTGGTGGATGCCCCCTCTAGACTTTGGTGTCCTGAGAGACATCTCTTTGTGGGATCTCTTTAAACAATGG